AAAGTATTTCAATGAATGCCCTATAAAGAGTTAAAGATTCTTTACAAAGTGAGCAAAAGGCCCTTTTAGTAGTCAGTTTGGTTAAAATTAAAGCTGCAGTCTCTCTCTTCCTTTATAGAAACGTGCTCTGCACAGGGAGTCTGCATTAAGAGTGTTTGGAGGAACATCAGGTCCCGTTGCATCTCTGCAGAGAGTGTGTGGCTTTTGATGAGTTTCTGTTTTTTAAAAACGCTTCAGTATTGAAGCAGTATTAAGGTAGTATATTTACAGTGTCCTGCTGCGTCCGGATCAGGTTTGTTACTTTTATCCCAACAGAGAAAGAAGTCGGTAAAATCTAAAGGCTCCTAAGTGGTCAGCGACTATTGGTGGGTTTCACTTTCAGAATCAAGACTCTAATATTCAATGAGGGAATCTTCTTCAGCGCAGACTGTGTAATTTAACGCTAGATTTGGTTTTATTCTTACAGTTGTGTTGATTCTGTAGTGGCAGCAGACATGTGAGATGTATAGACACTGTATGAGCAGCTCTACTTGTGCCAAAAACTCAACAGAGATAGCAGTTTGTCTTATGCTGTCATTAAATCGCACATACCTGCTCTGTTTTGAAATATACAAAAATAAAACAAGGAAATAAACACTCTAAATGAGTCTATTGAGAAATAAAAAACACAACAGAAGATGTTTTCATTCCTATTAAACTTACAAGTCTTGTTTTCCAGACCGATTGCAAATCTTGCCCTTTTTGTAGAGGAAGTAAAGGACGCTCCCCAATATGGCCAGAAGCAGGATACAGATAATGATCACAGCAATGATAACGCCATTGTTTCCTGTTAAAGAAGAAAAAACAGAAACACAAATCAGGACAGCTGGTTTTTTTTTTTTTTTTTTTTTTTTTTTTTTTTGATAGAGATGACATTTGGAAGTGGAGGAGTCCGATAAAAAGTGTGGGTGTGTCAGAAAGCCTTCCATGAAAACAGCACTTCTAGCATCTTTCAGCTGACATCAACCTGGCAGCTCAAAACAAAAGAGGTGAAAAAAGTTTTAGGTTCACAGGAGAAGAGGTGTGCTCATAGCGAAAAATAAAATATAATCAGCATCATGGCATGCAGAGAAAGAGGTGAAGGTAATGAGCAAGATAGTTTCATTCAACAGGAAAGAGGTGTCTGCTGGAGGAGAAGGTGATATGTCGGGAAAGGGAAAGGATGCACTTTGTGTGTTGTAAGAGATTCAGCAGCAATATGACACACAAACCTTTTTTGACCTTCTCTGGTGGTTTGGCTGTTTCTGGTTTGACTAAGGAAATCCAAATGAGGACAGTTATTAACGTGTTAGTGGGTCGATGTATTAAATGACTGATCTGACACACACAGACACACAGCGACACCCCAGCAGGCATTTCAGGCGCTCTGAATAACAAAATTGGACTAAATGAGTTAATCTGTGAATCCTGGTCAGTGACCTGGGTCATTTCCCACTGTAGTCCTGTTTAATCTCATTTCACAAGAGAGAAACAAAGACCCAGAACAGCTTTCCTCTGAGGGGATGGAAAGTTTCCTGGCACAGCAGATGTAAAAGAAACAAAATAGAGATAAAGACAATCAAGGGAATGATTTTAAGCCCGAGCCTCTTTAGTTAGGCACATTGGAGTAAATTTTTTGGGTATATCTCTGGACAGCATATTGCTTACAGAAATTCTATGCTAACAGTTTAAAAAAAACAATCTTAGTACTTTCATTATTGGATGGTCTTTTTTTTCTCAGGACATGGTGAACGTCATCATAAAAGGCACATTGTTCAGAATATAACTACTACTGAAAAAAATGATTACATTATAATTCAGGCAAAACAAATATTATGGAAAAAAATTAAGAGTTATTTAGGATTTATTACGGATTTATTTAGGATGCAATAAAAATCAGTCATTAAATACAGAATCTACTTTAAAAGTGGAATATACTTATATTTTTGTTATTGGAATTATTTAGAGCAGTATTTTTTTAAATACCAATTTAACTAAGGCTACGTTCACACTGCAGGCCTTGATGCTCAATTTCAAATTTTTTGTGAAATCCAACTTTTTTTGCGTTGCCTTTCATATTTCCAAATATATGCGATTTCTATGTGATCTCTTGTGCGAACTGCCGTCATTCAGCTTAACTGTCCCGCATGCGCGGTAGAGGCGAAATGACGTCACACGCCAGCATGCTTCGTGTTTAAGTAAACATGGATGTAGTGCTAGAGCACATCTAGTGGTCTTTCCAAACCTTAAAACCTCAATCTTTTCTAGATTGTTAAAAAAAATGCTGCTCTCTGCATCATCGTCCGCCATGGTGTATGTTTTTCTTGCTGCTTCTGTGTAGCAAGAAGCCGAATTGTGACCTATGTCGGTTACTAATAGCGTTCAGACACAGGTCACATTTGGAAAGATAAGACTGGTATCGGATTTAGGACCACATAGCCGGGTGGCCTGGGTCGGATTGGAAAAAATCGGATCTGCCATGAAAAGATCAGATCCAGGTCGCATATGGGAAAAAAATCAGATTTGGGTCACTTCAGGTTGCAGTGTGAATGTAGCCATAGTCTCCTTGAACCCCAGTTGGTCTTGGCAGATGGCCGCTCACACTTAGACTGATTCTGGTGGAGGTTTCCTCCTGTTAAAAGCGAGTTTTTCCTCTCCACCATCGCAACAAGCATGCTTGGTGTCAGGGATTTTCTATTTCTATTTTCTTTATTTATTCGATTAAAAAAAGAGTAGATGACTCATATAAACAAAACTATTTCTAAATCACTGAAAAGAGCAATTTTTTAGCATCTTGCAAAGTTGCTTAATACATTTACCATTATTTCTGTTTCCTGCATGTCAAGAAAAATGAGGGATTGATCATTCTTAAACTTGCTTCAAATTCATTTATCTGGGTCATTTGTATGTGGGCATGAAAAAATTATAATTTTTCCGTCTCTTAACAAACCCCTCAGAATAGTTTGCTGTAATTTATTAGTTTTATAGGCAACCCTGCTTTTTCTCCAAGCCATTTTTTGAGACTGAGGTCAAAACCTCTTTCTCAAATCTCTCATAACACTTTTGTTTAGTTACTTTCACAATAACTTGGTAATATTGTTAGGACGATTGTCTATTTGGAGGAACAATTTTTACCAAAGCTTTATCTTCCTGGCCAATGTGCCGAGCTGTTGCTTCATTTCTTCAACATGATGCTCTTTCTTTCTGATACCTTCTAATTTGGGAACAGCAATGGTCTCCATTAAGCAAAAAACTCAAGCTTTGCATTCCCTCATAGCGGGATGGTGTTCTCATACTGGTTTTCCCTTCATCTCTTCATAATGGCCAGAAATTATAGTTCTAATTTTTTCAGTCCCCATGTCTCCAAAAATGAACGTCTTTATACATTTCAGCAAACTTTAAGCTGTATATGCATGTTGCATTTGGCCTAATGCCTTTTACCTCTCAGTTTTGTATGTGCATTTAATTCATCAATTGCATTTGGCAGGTAGACTAGTCTACCTGCCAAATGGCCACCCATTCTCTTCAAACCTCTCAAATATAATTTTACAAACATACAAGTTCAAACACCACATCTGTCTCTCTTTGAGCTCCAGTGAGATTGAGTTTATCTTGAATGGGGCTTAACAGGCACAAAATGTCTGGTCTTACCTGTGGATTTGGAAATGGCTGCGTTGGTGGTTGTGCTTGTATTGGTGGTTACATTGATGGTTGTATTATCTGCTGTAGTGGTTGTATAGTCTGCTGTAGTGGTTGCTGGTGTGGTGGTGTGTTTATCTGAAAGGGGTGGGGGTACAAATCGGAACACACACCACATTACAACATCAGGGGAAAAGAGGGGATCACATCAACAGCCGAACAGCTTCAAGGTGTCTCTTTTGCAAAGAGGACACACATTGAAGTGCTCCAAATTACAGGCAACACTTTACAACACGTCACAGGGAGCTCATGACAGCAGACAGAGATTAAAACAAACAAACACAGACACAGACAAGAGGAGGAAAGGACAACTGGAGAGGAAGGGGGAACAGGGCATCTTCACACACGTGAACGCACAGGTTGGACAGCCTGAGCTGTGCAGTCAACTCACTGATTACGGCTTTGATGTTGTACTCGACTGAGTGTGTGCCATAGCCGTTTTGCGATTTGCAGAAGATGGTCATGTCCGAAGCTTTGACTTTGACTACACTCTTAGCGCCGTCATTGGTCTCTGTGTAAGTTGCAGAGCCTAAAACCTGCCAAGGATACACATTTGAAGACGGAAGAGTGATGTCACAAAGGAAAGCGTCAGATTCAGGTGAAAGATGAAAAAAGTATCCGAAAATAAGTTTCAGGTTTATAACCACAAAGTGAAATACATTTTGCATCACAGCATCAGTCTGAGCAGCTTCCCTGTCTTTGCTGAGAAGTGGAAAAGTAAGTTGGGTTTGTAAACCATATTTGCAGAGAAAGCCTTTTCAGCTCCGACTACAAATTTTCTATAGGGATAAGATTTCAAAATACTGGTTTTACATTGTTTAAAACTTCAAAGTTACTGTGCAAATAATTACTAAGTGTGATTAGATTTTAAGAAGTCAGAAGACGCACTAAACTGTAACTTTCTTGCTGATGTCTCGAGGTATTTTTTCAATGTCTCCACGCATTCTTCCTTCCTGATAGCTCCATTAAATTAGTCAGGTGCAAGATTCCTGCATGCACCCCTCCGTCCCATATTATTAGACTGCCACTCTCATGCTTGGGATGACAGGAGGTGATGTCTCTAGGAATTATCCTCTAATGCATTTTCAAACTGTATTTGGCCTCGGCATTAATTCCCATATGTTACTCCAAAGCACACTAATTTCAGGAAATGCGTTTCTTTCCTGAACTGTTTGATCGCTGCACATTTCAGTGTTGTTGTTGCTTGAAAATAAACGTTTGAAGTGTTTGTAGGTATCTAACCATTATAAACCAGCTTTAGAGGAGTCTCGATGATATTTGGTCTTCATTTTATTCTATTTTAATGATGAGCGCCCATGATTTTAAAAATGGAGGCAATGTTTTGGAAGTTTTCCTTTAAAATACATCTCATGTTTGCCTTGATTTTACTTAAGTGTAAATCAACATAACCCTGGAAAACCAGGACATCATCATGTTGGCATTGTAAGTTCCTAAAAGTAATAGTGATCTGGTGTTTGACTAAATTTGAAGGATTGACTGTTTTTTGGTTTTATTGTGTTTCATAGCCATCTTGATATCTCTTAATATGGTTTCTAGTCTGTGTCTCCTCCAGTCTACTCCTTAACTGGTATTATGAGGATAAGGTACTTGGTCTGCAACTCTATAAAGGTTGATCAGTTTCAGAGAAACATCCCAACAAATACCAGAAACAATCATTTCCCTACATAACACTCAGTTTTAAGAAATAATAACTGACATTAGCTAAATTTAGCTTTCATTTTAGAGCTGACCAGTTTGCTGTCTGACTAAAAGTTGCACATGGCTTGGCTTTTGCCATAATGGACCTAATCACTCCAACCTTTAGGAGTGTAGTGCGATGATTCAGTCCTTCTTGCAGGTGTGCTGAACCTGAGCTAAGGTTAAAAGATGTTTCTCATTGGTACCTTGTCATCAGAGGTAGTCCAGGTTATATTGGGAGAAGGGTAACCTCTGGCATAGCAGCTAAGTTCAACATCTTCATCTTTGTAGTTAATATCATTTTCTGTAGGAATGCTGTTTTGTGGAGGGCCTGCAAAAAGAAAGGCATAAAAACATTTAATTTTCTTAAAGCAGTGATGGAAATTAATACATTTTCTTCCAAAAAATACACTATCTAATGTGTTAAAATAGGAGATAACTTTCAAATATGCGTAATTTGCTCACCCTGAATGTGTACTTGTAGTGAGGAGTTAGTTTGCATTCCTTTAACACTTGGCACTGTCACCACACAAACATACGTCCCTGCATCCTCATATGTCACATTAGCCAGATTTAGAAAGTGACCCCTTGAAACCTCCTTTCCATCCTGCAGGAAAAAAATACATTAAACTCACTTTCTGCTATAAAGATTCAAACAAAATGTTTCATAATGCATCAGACCTCCGTTTTTGTTTTTTTTGTTTTTTCAGTAAAAACATATCAGTTATCATCACTAAGCCTTATGGTGTTGCTTGCCTGATGCATCCAGTTATTTTGTAGATGTTAGAGAAACGAAATCACAGTTACTGTACCTTAAGCCATGTTGTCTCAGTGTGGAGAGAAGACAAAGCATTGCAGGAAGTATTAAGCTCATTTTTCTGCACCACCTCTAAAGGGCCTTTAGGCTCAATGACAGCCTCATCCAAATCTACACAAAAGGTAAAGATTTGAATACATAATAGGTCACTTTAATCTGATAACATCATCACTACAGATAATATCAGAGTGAAGTCCTTACAGTTGACCCTCAGATCAATGTTTGCTGAGATTTCTTCAAACGTATACATATTCATTATTTTGCATTCGTAAACACCATCTTGCAGGCGAGTAACTCTCTCCAGCACCGCTGTAGCGTCGTCTGTCAACTTCACACCCTTTAAAATCCAGCAACAATCTTAGAAAATATTTTATCTTTTTATATATTCTATACATACAAAATGTTATTTATATATGTCATTAATATACTTTCTCACAAATGTAGAGATATACTTCAGAAGCTGAGATAATTAGAAGAAAAAAAGAATCATTGAACAGGAATATCTTGTCAGTACTTTTTTTTTCTGTGCACATTAGACTATGGGGTTTAATTGTTGGAAGCAGGATTCCAGGTCGCCACTCTTCCTCCAGTCCAGCTGATTTCAAAGTGAAATGCAGAAACTACTTTTATCATTAAAAGTGGCATTTCTAAGTCTGATGTCTGTTTCAGGAGGGGCGTATGACTCTGTAGCTGTAGTCCAAAATTTGTGAATAGTTTCAAGGTGTTGCTTTATTGTATATCTCGTACCAAGTCTTTTGGTTGTGCTGTTCTTTTTTCATCTCGTCACAGGTGATAAAGCTGACTGAAAATATTTTGTCATTGTCTCCTTTCTATCTCATCTTTCTTTCATCTTTTCTCTTTTTTTTTCTTTTTTCCTTTTCTTCTTCTGTTTTTCTGCTCTATTTACATTGCAGTGTCCATATAAACTGTAAAACTCCCTGCATAATTATAATAAAGCAATTTATATGCATGAAACAAGTGGAGCAATATGGCAATTGCCATACTGCTACACTTGCGAAAGTAAAATCTGTTGGGCTCTTTTTGGCATCAAGACGCAATGTGGCATCTGCCACATTGCCAGACAGGACACTGTAAAAAAAATAAAATATAAAAAAAAATTTGTGAATATTAATCTATTTAATTGGTGCAAAGTTTCCTTCAAACTTTCCATTAATACTTGTGGATATAAAAACTACCAATAATCTTTTTGCACTTTGCTGCTTCACCACATGTTTGTGTTGGAATAAAATCGCTAAAGCATAACATTTCTGTATAAAAATGAATTAAAAAAACTTCTGTTGTTTATAATAATCCAATTTCAAATGAGAAACAGTGTGATGAATCTGTACAAAATAAAAAATGTCCCTGACATTTTGATATATTTCCAAACATTTTAACACAATCTCAACACACTCATGAAATAAGTCGTATATCTTCATTTATTTTCTTACCTTATGTATAATCTGGATCTCTTCGGATTCACTATTCCCATCAGTGATGCAATGGAGCTCCACGGTGTCCCCCTCCTTAATATGACCGTTTGGGGATTTAACAGAAATAGTTGCTGCAGTAGAAGGATCTGAAAAAAAAAATTGGGAAGGTTACACCATAACTGCTGACTTTAAATTATTATAAAAGCTAGAAAATTCAATGTCATATGAAAAATCTATACTTCTCAAAATATAATAAATCCAAACTTATAAAATTACTATGACTAAATAAAGTTTGTTTTTCTATCTAAGCATTACTTTTCTTAAAAAAAAAAAAAAAAAGTCTAAATTCCCCTCAAATCCAGTTGATAGTAAACAAATTCAAAAGAGCATCATCAACAAAAAAGGAACACTTTGGTTAGTGATCTTTAATGAATGGTGAGTTTTGCAATTACATGTAAAATGCACCTAAGAGGTCCAGAACAACCAAACACTAGAGGAATTCTCTCTGAATTTTAGTGTCCATATAGTGATTAACATTCAAAAGCCTTCATTTAAGTCTTTCTAGGTTGAGAAAAACTTAGACTCAATCTTCATATATTGACAGAAAACTCGGTTGGGTGAAGGTTACTCACAGTAAACAGTGGGCTGAATACGTTGACTTTCATACATCTTCTCGGCTCCAGGAATGTTGTATTGGACCTCACAGTAGAAATGTGCATCTTTGTCCTCCTTCTTTACTTTAATAGACAAGTAACTTTTTATTGAAAATAAACCACTTGATTCGGATGTGACCTCTTGTGCTATTTGCACACCTGGAAGACAGAAACATGTCAGCCATTACAGAGCCTATAGTTAACTTATTCACAAATGCTAAAATCAATGATTTTAAAAGAAATTACTGATTTGGGATTGATAACCAAGAACTGTAACCCTTTGTCAATACTGTTTATTTTGCCAAACCAGACAGGGTACAGTATTATTCAAAAAAAGTAAAAAAAAACAAAAAAAAACTGTGGACTTTGTTTTTTAAGTTTAAAGACGTTTCACTTCTCATCCTGGAAGCTTTCACAATTCAATACCAAAATTTCCAGATAAGCGTTAAGTTCCAAGCTTTATAGAGTAACCCAACAAAGCCTTGTTATGGCTTAGAAAACATGCAAAGTGAACCGACAGAACAGGTCCACCCCTTAGTAATGGGAAGTTTTTGAGGTCGCTGTTGGCCCGCAATACTGCGATACTGGCCTACAGAGATGGCAAAAGTACTCACTTTCTGTACTTGAGTAAAAGTACAGATACTTGTGTTAAAAAATACTCTGGTAAAAGTGGAAGTACTGATTAAACTTCTTTACTCAAGTAAAAGTAACAAAGTACAGGCTTGTAAATTTACTTAAAGTATAAAAGTAAAAGTAGAAACCACTTTTTTCATGCCGTTACCTACATTTTAAATGGATGTCTGCCAATAGGACTAGATCTCCGTTGTGTTCATTTTCAATCATCTCGTCATCCATACTACTATGCTAACGCCACCGCCACCAAGCTGCAATGATTTGCCGCGAATGAATACCGCCGAAGCTGTCGATTCATCTTGTAGTGGTGCGTCAAATGCAACGTAGATTCCCATCCAATTAGATTGAATTTGGTATTGATGATGTGAAAAATAATAACGGTAACTCCATTGAAATTAAACTCCTTACATTTTTTTAAATGTAAGGAGTAGAAAGTACAGATATTTGTGTAAAAAGTAAGGAGTAGAAGTAAAAAGTCGCCATAAAAATAAGTAGTAAAGTAAAGTAAAAATATCAGAAAAATCTACTTGAGTACAGTAATGAAGTATTTGTACTTTGTTACTTCCCATCTCTGCTGGCCTATGACTCTGACAAGGGAGTCGTTAGGGTCATTGTTGGCCTGGCCGTCCAGGCGAGATGTTTTTGTCCCCTGCATAGCGATGGGGCTTGAGATGATAGCAGGAAGGAATCAACTCTATTGCTGCGTTGTAGATTTTTGACAGCTGGATCTTACTTTCCCTACTTAACACAATCATCATCAAATCCCTTCTTGCATAGTATGGAGAGAAGTTAGTTTTAAATTGAGTTGATTAGGACGGGTTGGTCCTGATATTGGTTCGTTGTTTGAGCCACAGACTCAAACAGATGTCGTCTCAGTGGAGCTTCCATAGTTGGTCACATTGCCATAGTAAGACACTTTACTCTGTTATCAACAGGTATTACCTTAAGTAACAGAACATTATTAAAATTCACTAACTTTTTGTATATTTATATAAGTATCTTGAAACCACACACTAGCATATAGATACCCCTAAAGAAGTACTTTTTACAACATGAAGCACCAATGAAAACAATAGACACTAAAGGCAGCCTTTGATGGGCTGTGCCTCACCATCTGGAATATTACGTAGTGGCGTGTTTTCTCTGTACCAGGTGACATTCGGTTTTGGGTATCCATTTTTCACCTCACATGTGCCAATCTATGTAAAGAGGTAATTAGAAAATGAGTATATTGTATGGAAGTTAATGTTCAATGGTTCATCTACGTGATTTAGGATTTGATTACCTTTGAAATTGGATCATTTATTGATATTCCATTTTCTACACCTTCTATCGTAGGTTGATCTGGTTTTTCTAATGGGAAAAGAAGGAAACGGAAAGAAGTTTAACATCATGTCAGCATTATGTAGATCCATCTCTAGCTGTGATATCTTTTTTTTTAATAATATTGCAGTAAATCTTACTAAACACTCTCAGCTTTGTGCTTCCATTCTTGGACCCTTCAGTAACGCTCCGGACCTCACAGATGAACTCCCCTTCATCGCTCAGCTGCACATTACTGATGATCATCACCACATCCTGCGACGTACTATTCACTTTGATCCGGCCAGTGAATGGAGTGTTTTTTTCCTCATTGTTTTGAAGACTCTCCTGGTGGTAGATTTTTTGCCTTTTTCCTGAACTTGTTTCCTGCAGGTTAAAACATATTGTCAATGAAAGGACAGCTTGTATCACCTTCCTCGAGTCTACGGGGTTTATAAAGAGAACTTACATGGAACCATTTTATCAACAGGCCACCACTGCCACTGATGCCGTCGTCCGATGTAAACGAGCAGTTGATTTCAGCTGTTTCTCCCAAATAGACTTCCACTTTCTCCACCATGTTTACTTCCACTTTAGCGCTAGCTGAAGGGACAAAAAGAAAAGTAGTTTTTATATACTTTTGTTTTAAACTCAGCTTAAAATGCATATATTCCATCGGTGCAAGAATTGCATTTAGTTAAAATTTTGTCTTTTTTACCCTTATGGCTGCAGTCTTTATATGTCCACCACATTTTAAACAGGCTTTACAGAAAAAGTTGCTTGTTAAACTGAAACTCTAAGGTGAGATACTGACATATTATGTACCCCAACTTTAGGATTCTGATGTTTTAAACATGTTATACTTTCATGTTTAAGATTATACTTGCATATGCTTGATTGCTTTCATCAAATATTCATTTTCTTCACTTAACAAAACCTTTTTTTAAAGCACAGCTGAAAGCATTTTCAAAATAAGTAAATTAAAAGGCAAGAAAAAAATGCAACTGGTGTTTGTAAAAGTATTCATGTCCAATAAAACTCCAAATTCAATATGATTTACTATTATTATATATTGTAGACAAATACTGTGTGATAAAAATGTATACGTTTTTTTTTGGTCATTGTTTTTAATATTTAAAAACAAAAAAATTAAGTGTTTATTTGTATTCAGCGCTCTTAAGAAGATAATCAACGTTCTTTGGACCTAACCTGCAATTCTTTAACAGTTTTCATATACAAACCTAAGGGAGGCATTGAAGTTAATGTATAGGAAGAAAGTCCTGCCCGGTAAAAGAAGAAGGGAGAGATACTATGATAGGAATGAGAAGCCCACACATGCCCCCATAAATGCGCCGCATTCCAACATGGCACCCTCACACAGGAAGAAAGGCGTGATTTAATTGCAGTATAGTAGTTCCACTGTTCCTTCATGATCTGTACATGAAGACCGAATGTTTTTCCCCCTTTATGGTCTCCTAAATTGACACATCCTTTTAGTCTCTGGATGGACCCCCAATTACGCTTGGAGCTACATTGTTTGAGTTAACATGCAGGACTTTCTTGGGAGAGAAGGAGTCATGAACTTTAAAGACTTTTTCCTATAGAGGAATGTTTCAAACAAGACTAAGTTCTGTGGAAATCATCACATTGTTCCAGGATATGCTCCTATTTGTCATTAAACTTTTCTTTTGCTATCCGTGAATGGCTTTTACTGATCAGACGCCAAAACTACACCATATTTAATTTGAATGTTTGCAAATTTACCTCATATGCACTGGAGTAAACATATTCAAAATAAGATATAAAGAAAATACCAGAAAAGTGAACAAACTAGAGATTGTGTTTTTACTGGAATTGAACATCAGCATGCTGGTCTTTAATGATTTTTCTAGACTATTGAATTTCTTTTTGTTATTGTTATAGAATATGATGTGCATTTATTCTTTACTTTGTTTCTGAACTAATTCTCTAATTTTGGCATCCAAAACAACCCAGCATGAAATCCTCTCTCCCTCTGCATCAGCCCACCTGTCTCTCACTTGGCTGTGTTGCTGTTTACTCCAGGCTAATGGAGTTGGATGGATGCTTTCCTGGTAAAGAAATTCAATTAGCTTCTATGACACAGACATTTCCTGGCCATTAACAATGAAACAGCCCCACTCTTGACTGACGTGCAAGTCCCAACCCCTAATCTAGGAACTGCAGCACCTGCAGAAAAATCCTGTTCTTCTAAAACTCCCTCTTCACATCTGACAGATACATCACATTTAATTTGGATTTTGACCAGCACCCATGCAATGCTTACAAAGCATCTGTCTGTGCTACCACAGGGCTAGGAATCAATTACTGATGCTGTAAGGCCACATTCAGTAATAGTCTTAATCTGTGTCTCAAAAAAACTGAGTATACTCTTTCTTTTATGTGTGATAGATGTTTCATGGTAGAGAGTCAAAGTTATCATTTTCCAGTTTTAGTGAGGTGTTTAACACAACTGTGGTATCTATGACATGTCTAGTTAGTCTGCTTCACGCAGGCTGCAAAAAGTGAAGCAGAATAACACTTGCACAACTTCTTGCTGAGCTTTCTGAGGTAAACGATCAAAAGTGATGATGCTAATGCCGATTAGACAGTGAAGGCTAGGCCTCTTGCTTAACAGCTGGTCACCAGACCGCAACAATAGCGGATCATTCATTAGACAACAAGGGTGCCATTTTTGATGCATGTTATGCTCCGCACAATGTGCGTCACCCTTAGGAATCTTCTAAAAACAAATGTATATTTTTTCACAGAAGCATTACATTTTTTCTTTAAGCTGACACTTTTAAGGAGAGACCATGATATATCAGACCATATCAGAAAACTGTACATTTTGCATTAGAGTTTGTGTTTTCTTTTTGAACCCAAGCTATTTTCCCTTATTATGCTAAATGCTCAAATAAGATGCATATGAAAAAGGGTCAAAGGTTAACTTTTAAGTCCTGATGGCTTAGTTTTTACAATAACACTGATTAGCATCTAAACTGTTTAGATGCAGAGCTGAGGAATGTCTATTGTTCTGGCTCTCTTTCACACACACACACACACACACACACACACCCACACACACACACACACACACACTCGTTCTGTAGTGAGGACCGTGTGTTGACTCCCATTGACTTCCATCGATTTCAAGTCATATTTAACCATTTCTATGCCCTAAAACTAACCCTAAACCTAAGCATTACCAATGCATACCTAACCCTAACCAATTGAGGAGTATGGGAGTGGTGGCCTAGTGGTTAGGGCTTTGAATCCTGAGGTTGTGAGTTCGAGCAAGACCCTTAACTCCACATTGCTCCCCGGGCGCTGCACAATGGCAGCACACGGGATGGGTTAAATGCAGAGAATTCATTTTGCTGCTCTGTACTTGTGACAGTGGAATGACAATAAAGTTTAATTCTATTCTATTGAAACCTTAGCCCTAAACTTAACCATTACCAAAATGGCTTGTGAGGACTGAAATGTCCTCACTTTGCAACAACTGCTCCACAGTTTGATGGTGAAATTGGAAAAATGGTCCTCACTCTGGGGAATACAGGTACACACATACACACATCCATGTTTCAAATAAAAACTGAGCACCTTGCCTAAACCCCCCACTGACTTCCATTCATTTTCAAATTTTTTGTACAGCCTAAAAATGTCATCCTAAAGCTAACCATAAATGCATTACCTGAAACCTTACCCTAAGTTTAAACCAACAAAGTGAAAAATGAAAGGTCTTCACTTGACATAAAAGTCCTCCCTTTACTAAAACTTTGCAGCAAGTACAAGTGCACACACCCACACTGATTACTTTTATTTCTGCAGCCTAAGCCCACTCCTAAAGCTTACCACTACCATACAAACCTGACGTTAAAACTAACATAACCTGAAGTCTCTCCACACTCTGATGCTGCTTATTTTCCTAATATTGTGATGAAACTTTTCCATTGGACTGCTGTGTGGTATTGATAAAATAATAACTAAGATAACCAAACATATAGCATCTAAATATAAATTTTATATATATATATTTATCAAACATGAAGTCAAACGCAGCTGTTGTTTATTTTGACATTTTTAAAAGCAAAAAGCCTTTTAAATGAGTTTGTGCAAAATTAAATTTCCAGAGATTGCTTAAAATGGAAATTAGCATTTTAATGTTTAGACAGCTCAAATTTGGATTTATAGAGACCTATAAAGACATTTTGTGATACTAAAGGGAAACATAAAACAACTAAAATTTGCTTCAGCTTAATAGTTGATCAGAAACTGGTCCTAAGACTCATTTAGTCAGATGATTGTAAACTTTATTATGTTGTCTACCTTATAAGTTAGTCACTCTATTTTCATATGCTGCTGTTTTTTTTTTATGAGGTAGAAAAGTCATCAGGAAACTCATTAATTGTCTCATAGCTCCCTAGGACCCCGGGTTCCTGCAGCATCTGGTGTGGCGAACTCATTGGCTCTAGCTCAAATTTAACAAAACAGCCTTTGTTTGTCACCCCATCCAACTATTTATCAAAGTTTAGTCAGTTACAGTATGTGTCATTTTAGAATATTTGTTTTGGAGCCTGGAAATATTTTATAACTTAATCACAAATATCCATTATGAGCTTTGAATGAAAATGAAATAAAACAGCTTTTTCTACTTTAGTTGAAAATAGAAAAATGGTTTTATCCTGTTAGATCAAAGGAATGTTTTAATTATGCAGCAATAAATCCTAAGAACAGGAGAATATTTCACAGATTTTACGGTGAAAGTTAAATAATAGGTTCCTAAAGGTCAGCTTCTTTCTTATTTTTTATTATTGTGTAATTGTTGATTTACATTTGTTGTACAGTGTCCTTAAGTGGTTTTAAAGGAGCTTTAAATAAAGTGTATTTCTATAGTTATTATCATTTTGGATGTAATCTGAGTGTGAATGTGTGCTGAACACATGAACGTCATGGAAATGCACTGAGTAACATCAAGTTTTAAAGAGGTTGAAAACAAGCAAATGTTGCATCCGGTCCTAATGGATTCAGGGAAAAAGGATGGAGGATACATGAAAAATTAGCTGTGGGGAAAATTAGGAGCTATGGGGTAATATATCTAAATGCTCTGCCAGTAAATTAATTTCAAGACTAATACGTAATGTTACAGGTTACATCATTTAAAACGACACATATTTTGGTGCTCTTGTAGATAAGCCTCCGGTCAGTGCAAACGACTTTCAGAAGCAGAGCCAGAAAACAGGAGATAAGATAACCTCAAGAGGAAGTCAATCCAAACAAAACTTGCTTTCAGTCTTAGCAACACAATCAGTTTCTGCTGCCGGTGATAACAAAGCCGAGAGCTCAGCTGGAGGCCTTTCCTCACCTGCACTGAGGGCCAATTTTGCATGAAAGAGACCGAAATGGTAAATTTCTGTTTTGATTTTATTGTTATAAAAATAGCAACTCAACATTTTTAATAGTTTCAGATGTTCTTTTTTTAAGTCGTGTAAACCAGAAACTTACCATGTCAAACCTTATGCATTCATTCTGTACTTAGCAATGTACAGAATACTGAGCAATGGAGACATATATCTATTGGA